AAGAGTGGGGCTGCAAAGGTCATTTAGTCTGATATTCCCAACTCAAAGATGAGAAAAGTGAAGCCCAGAGAGGAGTGACTTCCCCGGGTACACAACCCTGGCAGGACCAGATCAGTACAGGCTTGGCAGATGGTAAAATGTGACACAGCAGCGCAACATGTGAGGCCAGGGTGGGGCTGGGCTCAGGCTTGGTGACTGTGGTTAGTGCTGGCTTTTAAGAGGTGGCCACCTGTGCGGCACTACTTAGAGAGACCTGAGTGGGTTATCTAGAAAATTCACTTAAGAGGAACAACTCCTGTGTGGCTGATGTGAGCTAACCTCCCCCGACCCCAACTCCAAAAGCCAAAGCCCTGAGCTCCCCCCATACCCACCCCCAGAAGCCTGCAGAGCAGGGGTGAGGGCACCCCTCACGGGGTAAAGGTGAAAAACAAACCTAGATTAAAATTCTGCTCCGCCACTGCCTGAGCCTGTTTCTACATCCCTGAAAAACAGGGAAGGACCTAATGCAGCATCCGGGACGTGGCAGGTGGTGAGTATAAAGCATCTAGGAAGCTGGCTAATACCGTGGGCTCTGGAGCTGGGTTCATTTATTCCTATTCTGGGGCCACCATTTCCTGTATGACCTCGTGGTGCCTCAGTCGATTCATCTGCAAAATGAGGAAATCAGTACCTCATAGGGTTGTCCTGAGGATTAAGTGAATTCGTTCACTTAAAGGTTCTGGAACTAGCCCCGGTACACAGTAAGTGCTCAGCTATTAGGTATTGTTGGGAGATAGTGACGCCAGAGTGTAAGGGTCACAGGCACCCACCAGGCATCTCAGCTACTGTTTGCTCACCTTGCCCCACCTGGGCCTGACAAAAGGAAATGCTATTGCAGGGTCAGGCTGAGCACATCTGGCCGTGGGGATTCTCTGCCAGGTTGCCTGAACTGTTGCCTGGTGTCTCCTTGGCGCTGGGTGTGGCTGGACCGGGAGCACAGAAGCTCAGGGCAGGAACGGGCAGCTCCAGGGCCCAGACCTTCATCCTCCCTTGTCCCCTGGCTAACCCAGGATTGACCCAGGACAGAAAGAGACCGGTATGCAGGAGAGGACATAGGTGACCCCATATAATGTGGCAGGATACACCCTTCCCTGATATCCTCCATCGCCTTCCTTGTTTTCCTTCCTCCATCTGACACCGTGGATGTCACCCGTGCATTGTTTTTATTGCCAGTCTCCCCGTGAGAGTCTCAGCTCAAGCGAGGTACCCCCTGCACCAGGAACAGTGTCTGGCATATGAGCTGCCCAGTGTTTGCTGAGTGAATGAATGAACGTCTGTGACAGGAGGTCTAACCAGTGAACATCCGAGGGGGCTGGGGAGACAGAAGGGATTCAAATCACAAGTGGAGTAGAGGGGAGGGCTGGGAAGAGAGGGAGAGTCTTGGAGGCGGGAGAGCAAGCGGGAAAAGGCTACTGGCTGGAGAGAGTGATAGGGTGGGGGGGCCTCGACCTACCAGCTGAGTGGCCCCAAGGTCTCAGGCCAATAGAGAAGGCCCCTCGAGGGGCCACCAGCCCCAGTAAATACTGACCCAGAAGCTGCTACGCCCCACCCCCACAAGGAAGAACACCAACTGGACTGGGCCCACATCCCTACTTGTGGGGAGGGGATCAGGCCCCACAAGGCACCTCCCAAGGCCTACCCTGGGTCCTCAGAGGACCGGGCGACTCCACCTTCTTCCACCTCTGACTACTGTCCCTTGACCAGGGCTGGGAAAACCAGAGCTACCACAGGCCTTGCTGTGCTGCTGGCAGACATCACCAATCAATCCTGCCTTGCCCTGCACGCACGCACCAGGCAGCCTTGATGCTCTGACTCTGAGCTCCAGGCTTCCGTGACACTTGGCAGGGAGATGGCAAGGGGATCTGCCCAAGATCCCCTGTGAGGCAGCGACAGAGCCCGCCATTCTCCTGACAGCAGACCACTTCTCGGGAGAGGGAGCTGGGCTCATCCCCCAATAACCTACTGCCCCAGGAACACTGGGGAGGACTCGGTTGGTGCTCCCTCCAGCAATCCCTTCAGGATTTGGGTTTAATCCCAAGCACGAGGGCGGGCAAGGAAAGGATTTTGTTTCATTCCTTCAGATGCCCAAGCCTTGGCCCAAGCCCCAGGGCGCAGGAGTGAAGGCGCGTGGCTGCCTGGCCTCTACCAACAAAGCCGTCCTTTATTAAATAGAGATCGCGTTACATTCCATTCAGAGGAGGAAATCGGACGTGGTGAGGGATGTGTCCAGGTTGGACCCCGGTACTGAGTAGGCTGCGAGCGGGGAGGAGGGGCCCGGGTCCTGCCTGCCCCACCCCAGTCCTGTGTACCGGGCTGGGCGATCTCAGCCTCCATCGTCGGAATGGCCATCCACAACACAAAACAGGCCCGGGCATCCTGAGGCCTGTCTGTGTTTTACTGTGGAAGGAAAGTACCCCAATCCTCCCAGCAGTGGTGGGGGCGAAGGCTCCTTGCAGCATAGGGCTCAGCTGGCGGGAAGGAGGAAGGTCGAGCGGGCCCCTGATACATCTTAAGAATGTTTTGGGGTCATTGTCAGGCAGATACAGGATGGAGTGGAAGACAGCAGGCTCGGCCCCACCCCCCCCACCCCGTCTACTCCGTCGCTCCTCCTACCTAGCTCTCCGGCCCTTGGGCACAGCAGGCCCACCTGGGAACAAGGTGAAGGATGGCCACAAGGGGGTGCTGGTGCCCAGGGCGTAGGAAAGGGGGGGATGCGGAGATACCCTGGAGATCTCGCCAGTGAGGCACCTGCAGGCAGCAGCTCCTGGGACTGGGAAAGGGGTGCTGGCTGTCCCAGGGGTGCCCTCCCAAGGGCTGAGCCCCTTTGTACGGCTCCCAGCTCCTTGGTCTTTGGTGCTTTCTTGAAAGTCTTCTGGTGGCTGTAGTACTACGAGGGGGGAGAGATCACCTCCTGAGGTCCTGTCCTGGGATGGACGTTTGCTGCCGGCTCAGTGCTGCCTCCGTGGCCTGGCCATTTGTCTCTCTGTTCAGCTTCTGGCTCAGGGCTGGCTCTAGGACCCCGTCTGTCTGTCTGTCTCTCCTGGGGCAGGTGTTGGCTCCAGCTCAGAGCCCCCCTCCAGGCCTGGGCCATGACCTAGGCCTCCTGGGGGAAGAAGCCAAGCTTGGCCAGCGACATCTCCTTCCTCAGCCTTGTGATCTCCCAGAACATGGGCTCCGCTGCAGGCAGAGAGAGAGGGTGGACAGCTCGGTGCCCACTCAGGGTCGCCTCAGGCAGATGGCCTGGCCTCTCCCCCCGCTTTGGGCAGGGCAGGTAGCGGGCACCCTAGGACTCCCCAGTCCCTCAGGACAGACCTCAGTGAGTAGCTGGACCTCTTTGAGGTTCCACTCTGAGGGCTTGCAGCCCGGGAGGCATGGAGGTGACCGTCACCTCCACAGCCTGACATGCACACGCATGTACACACTGCCACACACTTGGACAGACTGCAAGTGCTCTCCAAGCCCTGCTCCCGGGGCTCTGCAGCGACCCTACGCAGAGCCCATCCCCGGCCTGGCAGAATGGGGGCAGGGGGACAACGGGTGGACAGAGGACTTGTTGGGCAAGGGCGGGGAGCGTCTACAGGGGGGGGTGGGCGAGCCGTGTCCAGCCACCACTTGGAGGTCCACGCGGCGGGAGAGGGGAGGGGATTCACAGGGGAGGCCCCATCGTGTAGG